AAACCTTCAAACTGGAAGGGACCTGTGAATGTCACTGTGTTGATCCCCAGAAGTGAAAAGAGGGCTTAGCCCAAAGAGAATAATTAAGAACATAAACTCTACTCTACTCTCCTGTTTGCAGAGGTAGAAGGCTATTGGCCCAGAATACTGCATATACAATCAGACACAATCGGATATTGATTGCTTTCGCTGAAATTTTTTTCTTTTTCTAACCTTAGTTACAAGAGGTAGATACTTGAGCAGTAGAAGGGGAGGGATAGATTCAGAATTTACTTGGCTTGACTCATGAGATTATTTAAGATATCAATAAAAGTAAGATTCAAAATGTTATAAAAATGACAAAGATGGGAACAGTCAATGTTGGAGAGCACAATGGATAGATAGGCACACATTTTGGAGGAAACTGTGAGTTGCTACAGCTATTCTAGGAAGCAGTTTGGATTGACACAAATAAAGGCAGTAAAATTTTCATATTCTTTTCCCAGAGATTCCTCTGCTAGGTTTATATCCCAAAGAGGTCATTAATAACAAGAATGGCTCCATATGCACCAAAATATTTATAGCAGCACTTTTCATCGTGGTAAAGGATTGCAAGCAAAGTGGATGCCCATTGACTGAAGAACAGTCACACACATTTCAGTACATGAATATAATGGAATATTGCTATGCTGTAAGAAACAGTGAATATGGTGAATACAAAGAAGCATGGGGAGATTTACATGAACTAATAAAAAAGGAGAATAAGCAGAGGGAGGAAAATAATATACACGGTAACTACAACATATGTGTGGAAAGAGCAACCACAAAACAACTGAAACAAAAGTAGAAAAAAAAGTATAAAAAATATTAAAAAAAAAAAACAAGCTTGGCCCCAAAGAAGAAATATGAGAAGTTGCCTCCCCCTATTCCTTTTCAGAGGTGGGGAAGGGGGTCTACACATGTGGAACATTGTAGAAAATATCATGTGCTGACTAGTTTTGCTGGAGGATATACAGGGGGAAATCTAGGCAATGTAGAAATAAAAGATCTACTATTAAAAATATGGATTTGCACCAGTCTACAGCATATCACCAACAAGGTTATCTCAGTTGTCTCCCTTAATGGAAAGATCTGATTATCCCCATTTTATAGGTGAAACGACTGAGGTCCAAAACGGTGAAGGGATTTGCTCAAAGTCACATGGGTAGAAGGAGTACTCTAAGAACTAGTACCCAGTGCTGGGATCTTTTCACCACCCCATGCCTCTTCTTGAAAAAACAAAAGAGGCAACTTGTCAGTTTTCTCCAACACGGCAAATAAAATATTGCTTCCTTTCTATCACCTGCCCTGGACTTTCCTGAATCCATTTCTCTAGAATTTGGGGGTATTTTTTAACTATCTTCCGTGCAAATTCTGATGGGGAAGAATAAGTACACGGCCATCACCAGTATCCTTCAGCCTAGAAGAAAAGGGCACAAACATTCTCATCTTGTCCCACAGAAACTACTCTTTTGACTTCAGGGAGGTTCCTTCACCTCTCTCCTTTAGATGATACACTTTCACCTGCAACAAAGCACCTGGTGATTACATACAGGAGCTCCCCACTTGTCACTCTATTTGTATCAATCTAACTTTGTACTTCATCCCATTAATCTCTATCACTTAAAATCAGTTTCCCAGTCCCATGACTGGCTTCTTTGAATATCTCTAGAAATGCTGAAGTTGGAAACTACAGGAATCAGTGGCTGCTCTCCAAGCAACATGATGCCTGAACTCTCAATTCTCCCATGCCCATTTGGAACTCATAGATTTCTCATATCCAATCCATTATTCAGTTCCCACCACCCTCATTTTCTTTTCAAAATTAATATCTTTTTGTCATAATTTGATTTGATTTGTTTTTTTGAACCTCTCCCCTAACAACTAGAATATTTCCTCTCTCCTCTTGACCTAGAGAAGTTAAGAATGAATCTCCCAGCCTCTGGACACCAAGATGCCCAGAGTCTATTCTGCCACCCAAGGAATAGTTTCAAAGGGAACCTCCAGTACCCTAGAAGCTAGATTTTCTCCAAGAGCTATTAGGCCATCAGGGTAACTGATATGGAAAATGGCAGGGGCATTTTTGTGCTGGGAGAAGGGTGTGGGACACTCCAGAGCAACAAAGTAAATCTGAAAAAACTGATCCATTTATGAGGTGCTAATCCAATGTGGGAGCAAACTCTAGGTAGGACATCTAGATGACAAGATCACAGGCCTTACCACAGACACCCCCAACAAGTACTCTCCAAGAAATGAGAAGCTTTGGTTATCTGAACCTGTCCTACTCTAATCAGGGGCACTTAACTGCAGTCATCTGCGAGCTCCTGCATCAGCTCCCCAAGCACTTCTGGTCAAGCACAGGTGGTATAAGGCAACCCTTGCCCAAGGAGGCCTAGTATCGATCTTCATTCTCAAGAAGAAAAACTTATAGGGAAATGATCACCATAATTAAATGTTTGAAGGATTGTCACATGGACAAAGAATGTGACTTGTGCTGTTTGGCCCCAGAAGGCAGAGGTAAGCCAATGAGTGAAAGTTATAAGGAGGCAGTATGAAGAATTTTCCTCAGTATAAAGAAGAAGCTTCTAATGAGTAGGGGGATTCACAAGTAAAATGGGCTCACTTGGGAGGTTATGAGTTGTCTGTCACTGTATGTCTTCAAGCAGAGAAACTGGGTGGCCTCTACAACATAAATGTCTCAGAACACTGAGAAATCCATCACGAAAGGTGAAGTTCCATGGGTAAAACAGAATATCTTATACCATGATCATTAGAATGGGTATTGGGACTCCAGAGGGCAAGGTTGAACAAGAGAGTAACTGTGTGAACAGTGAGGGCTTTTGCTTTTGGCTTTATAGAGCGACACATAAAAAAGGAGAAGACAGCAGGCAATCCAGATGGGCACTTTGAATAGGAATTAAGGGTAGAGTTTCAAGGAGGCTGCTGGGAACAACCATGCTACTTCCTCCTAGTGAAATCCCTGGCTGAGAAGTGACTGAACTGTTTTTCTCTAAGAATCTAAGGAAAACAGTGAAGTTCTTAAATATTTCTCCTTACCACCCTTCCCTTTGCCTTTATCTCCACTTACAGACAGCACATCTTTACTTCAAAGTTTAAGTCTTTTTATAACTCCTATCTTAACTTTTTTGAAAACATCTAACCTTTGACATAAAATTATGATAATAACTTCTTTGTGATGCATGTCTGAATATTAATTGCACACAGGAAAAGCAATAGATGATGACAACTAGGATAAATAGAATTAAAAATCAGTCAGCAGGTTAGACCTCTCTGTCCATATAGTCAACATTTCTTCTTGGTTTTGGGGACTATAAGCATAATAGAGAATCTTACGGTTTTGGTTATTAATAATTTTATAAGCTCCTAAATAGCAGGGAGAGATGGCCCATATAATCCAGGACCATGCACCTCTAGACTGATGAAATGGGTGGGGTAGATGTGTGGACCTATGACTATCACACCCCATGGGACCACCATAATGGGAGGAGCAAAGTATGGTCTGGAAAGGATCTGTCCTTCCCATCCATCCATCCGTTGGGAGGAGAGAGTAAGAATGAGTGCCTTTGACTTTTGGTTTCTTATACAGCTAGACTTTGCCCACAGCGACACCTGCTGTTATATCACTTTTAAGGGATGTGAGGGATATTTGTGCTTCAGTAAAGAGTTGGATTAGATGATAAATGGGATCTCTTTCAGTCTAAAATACTGAGATTTTTTGCTACTAGTGCCCTAGGCTTGTTAACCAGGCTCCCTGCCTAGACACTGAAGACAATTTTTTTAAACCAATTTTATTGATATCATTTTTTACACCAGGTGCATTTCCTGTATCTCTCCCTCTCTTAGAGAGCCATCCTTTATAACAAAGAATAAAAAGAAGGGGGAAACAATTTTTGCGAAACAAACCAATCTATACAAAAAGTCTGAAATTATATCCTGTGTTCCACATCCCTAGTCCCTCACCTAATTGTAATTTCACAGCATTTGATAATAAAAATTATATATAACTTCTGCCTGGATTCTTAATCTTCCTTTCTTTCTTTTCCTTCCTGCCTTTCTTTCCTTCCTTCTTTTTTCTTTCTTCCATTCTGGTCTCTTTCTTCCCCTCTTCTTTTTCTTTTATTTCTTCTTTCCTTTTTTTTCTCTTACTTCCTTTCCTCTTGTCTTAAAATTTTATGTTTGAAATTCCTTTAGCAGGAAAAGGATACAAGAAGAGATGATATTCCTTCTCCCAGGAAACAGAATGCAATGACTGATATTCACATTAAAAGACAAATAGCTCATTTAGTCCTTTCCTGAGAGCTGGTTTTGATAGAGGAAGAGTACAGAGTGCCTAGAATAGACAAGAAACTAGAAGCCCCTTGCAGAAGCTTATCTCCACCTATTTCAGTTATGCCCAGGATCACTCCTGCTACCTGTTATTCATAGGTGACACCTAAATTTCAACAGAAAGGTGAAATGATACTCATCCCTTAGTTTACTAAGTCCTGAACTTCCTGTCTGTCAGAGCAGTTTGTGTAATATAGACTCTGCACTTTAGAAATTTTGTCACATACACACACACACACACACACACACACACACACTGCCTTCTTTGGTTGTCATCATAAAGACTGGTGAAGGTTATAGGAATAGCAGTAGGAGAGCTTCTGACTAATGTTAATTCCAAAACACTGCTTTTTTAGCTCCTTGAAGGGATAAGAGCAGCCCAGGTAATGGTAGGATTTTGCAGAAGGCCCAAGTTGTAAGGAAAAAGTTCATATTAGCCACCCTAATTTTAGGTATTCACCCGCCCAACCACTTATTTCAACATTACTGTCTCTGACAACAGAGCAAAATTTTTTGTAGTTTTGAAAGTTTCAAAAGCACAAATATCTTGCAACTGCTTAACAAAGTCAGCCTTTCTCTCCTTTGAGATTTTCTGCCTTTATGATGGAGCCCTATAATTGGGGCTTATTAGATACCTCCCACCTGAAGGGCCTCAACTTTCTGGGAAGGCCTCTTAGGAACACAGCCACAGGAACACAAGGAGGTCACAAAGATATAGCCTAGGGATAAAAAAAAGAACTGATGAGAATGGAGAGAGGTAGTACTCTTCTGGAAGCTTAAAGTTCTGACCTAGCATTTCCCCAACTTCCATTTCCTCTGTAGGTATTAAAGATACATGTTAAAAATAGCTCATATGTACCTAGAACTTGAGGATTTCCCCAAAGTGCTTTGCTTGTGTTAGCTCTGTAAGGTTTGTTAGTGCTGGTGGTATTATTTTTAAATTATAGCTGGGTTAAGTAAGAATCAGCAAGGTGAGGAATTACTTACTCAAAGTCATAGAGGTTGTAAATGCTAGACCTAGCCCTCAAACCCTAGGTGTGTACCGCCACACTTGGCTAAAATGGATTTACACACAAACATACACACACACACACACACACACACCCAGGTGTGTACTGCCACACTAGGCTAAAATGGATTTACACACACACAGATACAAACCCCAGGTGTGTACCACCACACTTGGCTAAAATGGATTTACACACAAACATACACACACACACACACACACACACACCCCAGGTGTGTACTGCCACACTAGGCTAAAATGGATTTACACACACACAGATACAAACCCCAGGTGTGTACCACCACACTTGGCTAAAATGGATTTATACACAAACATACACACACACACACACACACACACACAAACCCTAGGTGTGTACCACCACACTAGGCTAAAATGGATTTGCACACAAACATACACATACACACACACACACACCAGGTGTGTTGTTGGGGATCTGTAAGGATGTAGAGGGCCACAGGCTGTTCATGAGATCTCACTGATAGGCAGAGGCCCCTCTCCGGTGTTGGTCTATGAGCAAAGATCACCTGGCTTGGTGCTCCATTCTATGGATCTTTAACAATCTTTAACTCCCCTAGTTATTGTATGGTCATTAGCAGTTTATCTGGGATTGGAGTCAGGTAAGTGCACAGGATGTGCATGCATTGTCCTTAGCACAGCATGGGCTCTAATGCTTTGTTAAAATTAAAGGGAGTTGCTTCCATCTTGTGTCCCATCTCATCAATGCGCATTTGAGATAGAAGGTTAAGCTGGTCTTATCCCTTCAAAGTTAGTATAGGATCCTTGTTCCTATGGTGAGCTGAGTTAGCTGTACACAACAGTGTGTACTGCCACACTTGGCTAAAATGGATTTACACACACGCACACCAGGTGTGTACTGCCACACTTGGATAAAATGGATTTACACACACACACATACAAAACCCAGGTGTGTACCACCACACTTGGCTAAAATGGATTTGCACATAGACATACACACACACACACCAGGTGTGTACCACCACACTTGGCTAAAATGGATTTACACACAAGCATACACACACACACACACACACACACCAGGTATGTACTGCCACACTTGGCTAAAATGGATTTACACACACACATATACACCAATTTACATGTATGTATCCCTATTATATTTCATATTATTTGGGCCTGTTTTTCTGTTCCATTGGGATCTTGATTCTGCCATCCCAGCTTTACCCCACCTACAGTTTTCATAAGCATAGCATCTTCATCCAAAGCTCTAATAAAAATATTAAAGAGAAGAAGACTCTGGGTGTTGTTCTCAAGTTCCCTTAGGATTGACATTGATCAGTCACTACTTTTGGGGTCCAGTCATTCAATAATCTGACCAGCTTTTCCATCATTTTATCTACTAAGACAAGATTGTCTCATCTTCCACATCTTTCCATCCTATCTATGAAGAATCATGAGAGATTTTTTTTAAATATGCTGCCAAAATTTAGGCCCACTACGTCTACAGCATGCTCCTGATCTAACAGTCTAGTAATGCTGTCAAAGAAAAAAAACTGATGATGATGTGTTTAAAAAAAAACCTTAAGAGAAAAGTATCCTAAGTGACCCACTGGGCAGAAGGATAAAGTCCCACCTCTGTGTCTTTGCTACCAACGTTCCTACTATACTTCCCTTTGTCTGCACCCACTAAAATCTTAAGCATCATTTCTGAGCCATTTAAATGTTATCTCCTCTATGAAACTTTCTGTAACCTTAGAGGTAGAAACAATCTTTTTTTTCCTCCAGCCTTGCACAACATTTTGCACTAATAGTATCTCCCCTCATTCTATTTTGTACTATAATAATTCAAATACACATATGAGCAAGGATGAGTTTTGTGTTTGCATGTCCTTCAGGATCCAGCACATGGTCCCCAGCACTTAGTAGGTGCAATTTAAATTGGATTGCATAGAAATTCTTCTCCTTCCCATTTCCCTCCCTTCTTTCCACTGAAAAGATCATAGATTTAGGTCTGGAAAAGACCTCAGAAGTTCTCTTGTCCAATCTCCTCACTTTACAAGTCAAGAACTGAGGTTCAAAGAGTGACTTGTCCAAGGTCATGCAGCTAGTAAACGACAGACAGAGTCAGGATTTTAACCCAAAGCCTCTTACCGCGTATCTAGCACACATGCCAGAGTGCCAGTGCTGGCTGCTGGAAGGACAGATTGATGGAATCATCTTAGGGCAAATACTTAAAAAACTAAAAAATCATATCCATCAGCTACTCCCAGTGGAACCTTCCGAGTCATTCAGGACATGTCAATGCTGTCACATTTGTTTACAAGGAGATGCAAAGCACAATCTGGGGCAGTCGTGGCCATTACTTTCAGAAGACCACTTGCGTATTGGAAAATTCTCAAGGAAATGAGTTCTATGGGGTCTGCTTTCCTGTGTATTCCCAATGGCTGGCTAAAACCAGGGAGGCAGAAAGAGATTTAAGTCAGAGGAAGTGTGCTTCCTTAATTCACCCATGTCATTATGCCCTCTTTCTACCAATAGAAGACTAATGTAATCCAGACCCTCTCAGGCTTTGAGTCAAGCACTTCAGCTCTTTAAGACAAATAGCCGATCTATATCCTGAGCGTCCTTCAGAGGATCCATGGGGAGAGAAAAAGGTCTTGAAAGCTGGGTGGATAAAGGGGGGTCTTGATGTATTATTCATTACCAGGACATAATTGCATTATTATTACTTTTATTCTAGAGACTGCTTAGAGGTATCTTGGTCTAAGAAAGGGGAGCAGGGGAAACCCGAGAGCTTCTTTGGCGGAAGAAGACAATCGGCAGGAAGTCATTCGTCAGTACTACCTCTCTGTAACTAATCAATATTTACCCTTCCAAGTACTACAGAGAATCGAATATTTACCATGTTTCATAAACATGGGAACTAAATTAGAAAACAGAATCACTTGGTACCAGGTTTGGATTCAGATGAACTGGCTTCAAATACTAGTTGTATTACTTACTAGCTGTGTGACCTTGACCTAGTAGTCCCTTAATTTCTCTACCTCAGTTTCCACATTTGTAAAATGAAGGATGTTGTATTCAATGGGTTCTAAGCTCTCTTCCAGATGTAAATCCATGATCCTATGGATTCTGTGATTTATAGAATCCACAGTTCGATACCAGTCTTTTTTCTTCCTCTTACAAATAAGATAATATATACAAATAATAGCATATGTATAGCTAATTATATAGTCTTTCACCTACATTATTTCCCAGATCCTTAACAACAACAATAAAAAGAAACTTTTGAGATATATAAAAATAGGTATTATCCCCATTTTTAAAAAAACAAGTATTATCTTAAAAAAAAAACTGAGAATCAGTGAGGCCCCCTTGAGCAGTAGGAAAAGTAAAATCAGAAGCCCTGGGTCCCTATCCCGTCTCTGGCAGTTATTAGCTGGTGAATAAACAAATCCCTTAACTCTGAATTTCTCCAGAACGGGACTAATAATTCATGCCTCGTTTGGTACAAGACATAGACTGAAAGAAAAGAACAAACGATAAGCCTGGAGTTGAGTCCTGGGTTTTAATCTTGGCTCCACAGCACTAATGCTCCAATAGAACTGTGTGGCCTTGGGTTCCACTTCTCTGGGACTCAGTTTCTTAATCTATACAATGGGGATAATAATACTTGTTGCAAAGATACTCCTAGGCTGCTACTCTCACATCAGACTGATGATATGTGTCTCTGATACTTTCCTAAACAACTCCTGAATCATCCCAGATAGTTTGCCTGACTTTACTACTTCAGATCTGTGAATTGGTTCATTGATTTCACCAGACCACTGTGGAGCTGAATATCATTGTTTTTCTGGAGGCTGTGGTAACATTCAATTGGTTCTATCAGATAATGTGCTTAGTATTCTCCATTTACATAATTTAAACTGCTCTTATAGAATATCCTTAATAGGTCAGAGGACAAAGCGACTCAGCCATAACTAGTGCCTGGGTGGAACCACCCCCTTGGCCAAAATAAATACTTGAATATCACCAGCACCACTGCAAAGGAATCATGTTTTGTGCTTTGAGTACATTATGCACTCAGTTTATTTACCTAATCAGGACAAAAGAGCCCCACATACTATATTATTCTTCCTCATCTTGAAAAGCGTCCCAGGAAATGCAGTGCCCATCAGGACAGAGTGTAGGTTGACACGGTATGTGCTCATAGGCCCACTTTTCAGTGCCTCATATTTCATTAACCTGCTCCTCATCAGATGGTGCCCAAGTAAGAATTATGGTTGTTATTCTTTGATCTAGGGATTCAAAACTTCCAGACAAATAGTGGTCAGGTTTCTCTCCATAAATACCATCAGTAATTTTCTTACCTGTGCGAGGTTTCCATCTAGTGGTTAAAGTGCTAACTTCAGACCATGCAATTACATAGGAAGGCTACCTGTTTTGGGCATTCTCCTTTTGATTCAGTTTGGCATCCATTTGACAAACGCTTAAGATGTTTAAGGCAATGTGCTTAACATATATTAAGAGCATACAAATATGGCCCCTCCCCTCAAAGAGCGGAAAGTGCAATTGTAAGGGAAAAGACATATATAATTCAATTCAACAAACATTTAAGCACCTACTATGTGCAAGGAAGGGACAGCTAAGTGATGCAGTGGATAGAGTGCCAGGCCTGGAATCACAAAGTCTCACCTTCCTAAGTTC